GTGTGGGTGTGTGGGTGTGTGTGGATGTGTGTGGGTGTGTGTGTGGGTGTGTGGATGTGTGTGTGTGTGGGTGTGTGTGGGTGGGTGTGTGTGGGTGTGTGGGTGTGTGTTGTGTGTGTGTGTGTGTGTGTGTGTGTGTGTGTGTGTGTGTGTGGTGTGTGTGTGTGTGTGTGTGTGTGTGTGTGTGTGCAGGTAAAATGCAGGAAAGAAAATTCACTTGCAAACTTCCACCTCTAAGTGTGGCCTGGTGGCCTGGTGGCTAAAGCTCCCGCTTCACACACGGAGGGCCCGGGTTCGATTCCCGGCGGGTGGAAACATTTCGACACGTTTCCTTACACCTGTTGTCCTGTTCACCTAGCAGCAAATAGGTACCTGGGTGTTAGTCGACTGGTGTGGGTCGCATCCTGGGGGACAAGATTAAGGACCCCAATGGAAATAAGTTAGACAGTCCTCGATGACGCACTGACTTTCTTGGGTTATCCTGGGTGGCTAACCCTCCGGGGATTAAAAATCCGAACGAAATCTTATCTTATCTTATCTTATCTTCTTCAGCAGATCTGTTAAAGACTTCCGGTATGTTAGTAAATGCTAAATAATGTTGGTGACATACCTGTTGTTAGGTCCAGGTTGTGTTATGGTTGTGTAAAGACACACTGACTGGGCCAGGTTGTGTTATAGTGATGTAGAGACAGTGTTAGGTTCAGGCAGCAGGGGACGGGAAGGTATTGCGTGTACAGGAGGTAGACGTGTTTACCCTTGGTGGTGTGGGAGTGGGAAAGGGAGAGGGGGGAAGTGGAGCGTGAGGGAAGGGGAGAAAGGGAGTGGGGAAGGGAGGGAGAAATTGAGTGGGGGAGGGAGGGAGAAAGGGAGGAGTCACGAGGTCTGTGATTCGCACACACATACACACACACAAACACACACACACACACACATCACACAAGGTGGACAAGGTGGACAAAGACAGGATGTTCCAGGGAGGGGACACAGAAACAAGAGGCCACAGTTGGAAGTTGAAGACACAAATGAGTCAGAGAGATATTAGGAAGTATTTCTTCAGTCATAGAGTTGTAAGGCAGTGGAATAGCCTAGAAAATGACGTAGTGGAGGCAGGAACCATACACAGTTTTAAGACGAGGCTTGATAAGTACAGTGAGCGGGGAGAGATGAGGAGCCAGTACTGCAACCGGTGACGAGGCGAGCCAAGCAGCTAACGACTCGACCCACTGCAACCACAAATAGGTGAGTATACACACACACACACACACACACACACACACACACACACGCACACACACACACACACACACACACACACACACACACACACACACACACACACACACACACACACACACACACACACACCTGACTCATCCACTGGTGATCTTTTTTAGTCATAAATTAATGGAGCGAAGCAATGTGGGTTGGGGTGGGTTGTGGTGGGTTATGGTGTGTTGTAGCGAGTTGTGGTGGGTTATAATGTGTTGTGGTGGGCTCGGGTGGGCTGAGGTGGGTTGTGGCAGAGTCATTGTAAATTGCATCATGTCTTCATTATATATTAACTGACGTCACTCAAACTTTTGACAAAAATCAATACACCATCATTAAGCACTTTTATATTGCATAATTCTTAGCTTCTGTCTCTCTCCTGTCTCTCTCCTGTCTCTCTCCTGTCTCTCTCCTGTCTGTGTTCTCTTCCCAGCCCTTCTTCTTCTTCAATGGAGTTGACAAATAAGACAGCCATAGGAACACAGTGAGATATATCGTGGTTGACGGCCTCTGATGGAATGGTGTTAATACATGTTTACGTCGATTCAAGCATTTTGAACTCACTACCAGTCATAACGAAAACTTGAACAGACTGAACACAGGATAATATTCAGTAGATAATATATCCCAAAGAGCAGCCAAGTTAGGTGTGAGGAGAGTACAAAGTGGAGTCCAGTACAAATCATTCCTTGGCCAGGTTACGAGGACGGAAGTGACTGGAGGGAGATTCATGTATACATTCAAGAGTATATATGTCTGTGTGTATATATATTTCTCAGTGCTCAATAATAACCCAAATGAAGATTGAAACTCAGGAGATTAATTTATCTGTATATTTCGACCCCTTTCTGGGATCCTCTTCAGCTGAAGAGGATCCTAGAAGGAGGTCGAAATACACAGATCAATCAACCTTCTGAGTTTCTCTCTCATGTGGGTTATTACTGAGCACTGACAAGTGTCTACACTTTAGTCATTCACATTTCTCAGTATATATACACAGAGTTCCCTTCACAGGAATCAGTCACTCTTGTCTGGTGGTGAACATGTTAAATGTAGCCTTAATGGCCCTCAGACACTCGGTAGGATCAAAACCCAATTAAGCAAACCAACAGAGAAAATGGAATCTGCAGGTGACCAGGTGACTCACCCCAGAGAGGTGAAGAACCTACCAGTGCTAGGTGACCCACACATACGACTTCAACCATAGTAATGGTAAGTTAACCAGAGCAGACAACCTTCATAACCACACACACTACTTTCTACATATATTCACATTATACTCACATATATTCACATATACCCACATATATTCACATATACTCGCATATATTCACATATACCCACATATATTCACATATACTCACATATATTCACATATACCCACATATATTCACATATACCCACATATATTCACATATACTCACATATATTCACATATACCCACATATATTCACATATACTCACATATATTCACATATACTCACATATATTCACGTATACTCACATATATTCACATATACCCACATATATTCACATATACCCACATATATTCACATATACTCGCATATATTCACATATACTCACATATATTCACATATACTCACATATATTCACATATACCCACATATATTCACTATTATACTCACATATATTACATATACCACATATATTCACATATACTCACATATATTCACATATACTCACATATATTCACGTATACTCACATATATTCACGTATACTCCCATATATTCACATATACTCACATATATTCACGTATACTCACATATATTCACGTATACTCACATATATTCACATATACTCACATAATTTTTATATATTACAATATAATTCAATATCTCTCACATATATTCACGTAACTCATTATGATTCATATATACTCATATATATTCATATGATACTCACTATAGATTAAAATATACTCCCATATGTTACGATATACTCATTATATTCACGTATACTCAACATTTATTCACAATACCATACCATATATTTATATATACTCACATATATTCATATATACTCACATATATTCACGTATATTCATCGCACACTAGAAATAACCTTTTTTGCAATTATTAGCAAAGTTAGATACATCAGCAGTGTGCTGCTAACTTATTCTCCATAACAGTTACATAGATGGGAACAAAATTTAGCTATTTCATACCTATACATACGATGAGGCGAGTCTTAGGTGAAAAACAGTAACAGAATTAGCTACCAGTCTCGAGTTATGACTAAGATTTTAGCGAAACCGACTAACAAGAATTTATTTTCTGGAACGCAGAGGGAGAGTAATGATTAACTATATACTGGGAAAATCTAGAGGGTCTATGTTAGCAATTTGCACACGAAATCATCCCTAGAAAGCAAAAGACCGGACAGCGATGCAACATCCCGTAATGTACAGCATGGTGTCATTGCACGATAGAGACAACACAAATAGTGTCCGGGCCCAGACCTGTTACTGCCCCAGCATACTAAGGGTTACCAATGACCCTTATTATGCTGGACAGGCACCCAAAGTCAGTACTGAACAACCCGGGGTGGTTCTCAGTGGTTGGTGAAGCCACATAAAAAGCCGGTTGATTTAGCCCTGACCCCCATGAGGATTGGTCACAAACCGAGCGCCCGGGGGCGTTGACCCCCGAAACCCACTCCAGGTATCCATGTATACGGAGAGGGAAGGAGTGGGGGAACAAGTGGTGGGGATGAGAGACCACGAAGAGAGGGGAGAGGTGGGAGACTAAGAAGGGGGGAGAGAGGGGAGAAAGGGAAGGAGAGGGGGGGGGTCGGTCAATGTCCAATAGCAGCGAGTAGAGTAAGCAGGACCCACTACCCCCACACCCACACCCACACCCACACGCCCACGCCCACACACAAACACACGTTGTCTGCCTCTAAGTCAGTCTACTGCCTGCTCACTGGCCTGCCTACCTGCCTGCTCACTGGCCTGCCTACCTGCCTGCTCACTGGCCGGCCTGCCTACCTGCCTGTTCACTGGCCTGCCTACCTGCCTGCTCACTGGCCTGCCTACCTGCCTGTTCACTGGCCTGCCTACCTGCTTGCTCACTGGCCTGCCTACCTGCCTGCTCACTGGCCTGCCTACCTGCCTGCTCACTGGCCTGCCTACCTGCCTGTTCACTGGCCTGCCTACCTGCCTGTTCACTGGCCTGCCTACCTGCCTGTTCACTGGCCTGCCTACCTGCCTGCTCACTGGCCTGCCTACCTGCCTGCTCACTGGCCGGCCTACCTGCCTGTTTACTGGCCTGCCTACCTGCCTGCTCACTGGCCTGCCTACCTGCCTGTCTCACTGGCCTGCCTACCTGCCTGCTCACTGGCCTGCCTACCTGCCTGCTCACTGGCCTACCTGCCTACCTGCCTGTTTCACTGGCCTGCCTACCTGCCTGCTCACTGGCCTGCCTACCTGCCTGCTCACTGGCCTGCCTACCTGCCTGCTCACTGGCCTGCCTACCTGCCTGCTCACTGGCCTGCCTACCTGCCTGTTCACTGGCCTGCCTACCTGCCTGTTCACTGGCCTGCCTACCTGCCTGCTCACTGGCCTGCCTACCTGCCTGCTCACTGGCCTGCCTACCTGCCTGCTACACTGGCCTGCCTACCTGCCTGTTCACTGGCCTGCCTACCTGCCTGCTCACTGCCTGCCTACCCGTCTGTTCACTGGCCTGCCTACCTGCCTGCTCACTGGCCTGCCTGCCTACCTGCCTGCTCACTGGCCTGCCTACCTGCCTGCTCACTGGCCTGCCTACCTGCTTACTACCACCATTCCCAGCACTACAACTATTCCACTACCACTATCACTAAAACTACCTGCAGGTAATGTGATAATAATAATAATAATAATAATAATAATAATAATAATAATAATAATAATAATAATAATAATAATAATAATAATAATAATAATAATAATAATAATTATTATTATTATTATTATTATTATTATTATTATTATTATTATTATTATTATTATTATAATTATTATTTATTATAATTATTGACTGTAAGGATGTTATTTATGTGTTATAATTGCCGTTATCTTAGTGTTATCATCTACCGTTATAGTGTTATCTCAGTGTTATCACAGTGTTACTGTTGGCTCTAAAGGGACTGTCAGTGTTATCGTCTTGTGTGATGTAGTTATCATGTTATCACTGGGGCCGAGGTGTTATCTTCATGGCGTCAGCACCTGTATGACCCCCCCCCCATCACCTCACGTGCACCCTGAAGATAACACCTCTGCCCCGGTAATAACATGATAACTACATCACACAAGACGATAACAATGACAGTCCCTTTAGAGTGAACAGAATACAGTGATAACACTAAGATAACGGTAATTATAACATGTATATATAACATACATACAGTCAATAATTATTAGCTATTATTATTATTATTATTATTATTATTATTATCGTGCGTTATTATAATGCGTTATCTCGTCGATGTGTTATCTTACTGATGTGTTATCTTGCCACTGTGTTATATTGCCGATGTGTTATCATGTCGGTGTGCTATCAATCCAATGTGGTATCTTACCGATGTGTTATCTTACTGATGAGTTATCTTACCAATATGTTATCTTACTGTGTTATGTCACCGATGTGCTATCTTGTTGGTGTGTTATTCTACCAGTGTGTTATCTTACCAATGTGTCATCTCACCAGTGTGATATCTTACCAAAGTGTTATTTTACCGATGTATTATCTTACTGATGTGTTATCTCACCAATGTGTTATCTTACTGGTATGTTATCTCACCCATGTGTTATCTTACCGATGTGTTATCTTACCAATGTCTTATCTTACCAAAATCTTGTCTTGTCGATGTGTTATCTTGTCGACATATTATCTTACAGATAGGTTATTTTACCGATGGGATATCTTATCGACAGCAACGGCAGACAGACATGCAGGGTGACAGATAGCTGGACAAACACACACATACACACACGCACACACATAAGCACAAGAGCGCGCGCACACACACACACACACACACACACACGTACACACACACACATACATACTACACACACACACACACACACACACACACACACACACACACACAGACACACACACACACACACACCCACACACACACACACACACCACACACACACACACACACACACACACACACACAGGGAACAGAGGGGGCGGAGGAGTGGCACTGCTGATCAAAAACCGATATGATTTTGATGAGCTAGAAAGAGGAGACAGTGGAGAAGCAAGAGATTACGTAGTACTAACGTAGGAGGTCCCAAGGTGGTAATTGCAGTGATATATAACCCACTACAGAACAGCAGGAGGCCAAGGCAAGAGTATGATAAGAGTAATAGAGCGATGGTTGACACACTGGCTGAGGTGGACAGAAGGGCCCAAGGGCAATGCTATTGATCATGGGTGACTTCAACCACAAGGAAATCGATTGGGAGAACAAGGAGCCACATGGGGGCCAAGATACGTGGAGGGCTAAGATAATGGAGGTGGTACTGGAAAACCTTATGTACCAACACGTAAGGGACACTACCAGAGAGAGAGGAGAGGATGAACCAGCAAGACTGGATATACTGTTCACCTTGAGTAGTGCAGATATTGAGGACATCACATATGAAAGACTTCTGGGGGGCCAGTGATCATGTGGTTTTAAGCTTCGAATACACAGTAGAGTTACAAGTGGAGGGGGAAGCAGGAAGGGCCGGATGAGCAAAGCCAAACAACAAGAAAAGGGACTACTCAAGCTTGAAGAACTTCCTGAACGGGGTTCAGTGAGACAGAGAACTGGCAGGGACGTCAATGGGCGAGATGATGGAATATGTGACAACAATATACAAGGAAGTTGAGGAGAGGTTTGTACCCAAGGGTAACAGGAGTAATGAAAAAGCCAGGATGAGCCCGTGGTTCACCCGGTGCAGGGAGGCCAAAACCAAGTGTGCTAGGAAATGGAAGAAGTATAGAAGGCAAAGGACCCAGGAGAATAAGGAGACCAGTCGTAGAGCCAGAAATACGAGATCAATTAAACAGGGAAGAACAGGAAGCGTACAAGTCAATAAAACATGACATAGAAGCGAAAACCAAATCTGGCCCAAAGCTGTTGTACAGCCACGTCAGGAGGAAAACAACAGTCAAGGACCAGTTAATCAGGCTGAGGAAGGAAGGAGGGGAGGTCACAAAAAATGACCGCGAAGTATGTGAGGAGCTCAACATGAGATTAAAAGAAGTGTTCACAGAGGAGACAGAAGGGCCTCTAGAAAGGCAGAGAGGTGGGGTACACCATCAAGTGTTGGACACAATACATACAACCGAGGAAAAAGTGAAGAGGCTGTTAAGCGAGCTAGACACCTCAAGGGTGATAGGGTAGGATAACATCTCTCCATGGGTCCTGAGAGAGGGAGCAGAGGCGCTTTATGTACCACTAACAACTATCTTCAACACATCTATAGAAACAAGACGACTACCGGAAGTATGGAAGGCAGCAAATGTAGTCCCAATTTTTAGAAAAGGAGACAGACATGAGGCACTATACTACAGACCAGTGTCACTGACGTGTATAGTATGCAAGGTTATGGAGAAAATTATCAGAAGAGTGGTGGAGCACCTAGAAAGGAATGATCATATCAATGACAGCCAGCAAGGTTTCAGGGACGGGAAATACTGCGTCACAAACCTACTGGAGTTCTATGACAGGGTGATGGCAGTAAGACAAGAGAGATAGGGGTGGGTAGACTGCATTTTCTTGGACTGTAAGAAAGCGTTTGACACAGTTCAACACAAGAGATTAGTGTGGAAGCTGGAGGACCAGGCAGGGATAATAGGGAAGGCACTACAGTGGATCAGGAAGACAAAAGCGAGCCATGGTACGTGGAGAGGTGTCAGAGTGGGCTCCTGCAACGAGCGGGGTGCCACAGGGATCAGTCCTAGGACCGGTGTTGTTTCTGGTATTTGTGAACGACATGACGGAAGGAAGAGACTCAGAAGCGTCCCTGTTTTCAGATGGTGTGAAGTTCATGAGAAGAATTCAATCGGACGAGGACCAAGCAGACCTACAAAGGGATCTGGACAAACTGCAGGCCTGGTCCAGCAACTGGCTCCTAGAGTTCAACCCCACCAAGTGTAAAGTCATAAAGATTGGGGAAGGGCAAAGAAGACCACAAACGGAGTACAGTCTCGGGGGCCAGAGCCTACAAACCTCACTCAAGGAAAAGGATCTTGGTATGTGTATAACACCGGACACATCTCTTGAGGTGAACATCAACCAAATAACTGCTGCAGCATATGGGCGCCTAGCAAACCTAAGAACAGCATTCCGACATCTAAATAAGAAATCGTTCAGGATCTTGTACACCGTGTACGTTAGGCCTATATTGGAGTATGCGGCAACCAGTTTGGAACCCACACCTAGCCAAGCACGTAAGGAAATTAGAGTAAGTGTAAAGGCTTGCAACTAGTCCCGGTGCTAAGGGGTATGTTCTACCAGGAGAGGTTAAGGGAAATCGACCTGACGACACTGGAGGACAGGAGAGATAGGGGGATATGAAAACGACATATAAAATACTGAGAGGAATCGACAAGGTGGACAGAGACAGGATGTTCCAGGGATGGGACACAGCAACAATGGGACACAGTTGGAAGTTGAAGGCTCAGATAAATCACAGGGATGTTAGGAAGTATTTTTTCAGTCATAGAGTAGTCAGGAAGTGGAATAGTCTGGGAAGTGATGTAGTAGAGGAAGGATCCATACATATCTTTAAGAAGAGGTATGATTAAGCTCTTGGAGTAGGAAGAGTGACCTAGTAGCGACCAGTAAAGAAGCGGGGCCAGGAGCTGTAAATCGACCCCTGCAGCCTCAACTAGGTGAGTACAACTAGGTGAGTAAAACACACATACACACATTCAGAGACACATGTGTACTGAAACATGAGAATGAGAGTGAGAGAGAGAGAGAGAGAGAGAGAGAGAGAGAGAGAGAGAGAGAGAGAGAGAGAGAGAGACGATTCGTTTGTTAGAATACAGACAAACTTAGGTATAATCTCTCTCTCTCTTCATGCAGAATTCCTCTCGGTGTCCCTAAAGTCTTTAGTATTCCCTCAAATGCCGAAATAACATTACAGTGATGATGGTGGAGTGATTGAATGTAACCGAGATCTTGAAGGATGATCTAGCTGGTGGATGATAGTTCTGAAGGAAGGTTGGCAGTCTTTGTTGTGGTTGTGGTGGATGATAGTTCTGAAGGAAGGCTGGTGGTCTTTGTTGTGGTTGTGGTGGATGATAGTTCTGAAGGAAGGTTGGCAGTCTTTGTTGTGGTTGTGGTGGATGATAGTTCTGAAGGAAGGTTGGCAGTCTTTGTTGTGGTTGTGGTGGATGATAGTTCTGAAGGAAGGCTGGTGGTCTTTGTTGTGGTTGTGGTGGATGATAGTTCTGAAGGAAGGTTGGCAGTCTTTGTTGTGGTTGTGGTGGATGATAGTTCTGAAGGAAGGTTGGCAGTCTTTGTTGTGGTTGTGGTGGATGATAGTTCTGAAGGAAGGCTGGTGGTCTTTGTTGTGGTTGTGGTGGATGATAGTTCTGAAGGAAGGTTGGCAGTCTTTGTTGTGGTTGTGGTGGATGATAGTTCTGAAGGAAGGTTGGCAGTCTTTGTTGTGGTTGTGGTGGATGATAGTTCTGAAGGAAGGCTGGTGGTCTTTTGTGGTTGTGGTGGATGATAGTTCTGAAGGAAGGTTGGTGGTCTTTGTTGTGGTTGTGGTGGATGATAGTTCTGAAGGAAGGTTGGCAGTCTTTGTTGTGGTTGTGGTGGATGATAGTTCTGAAGGAAGGTTGGTGGTCTTTGTTGTGGTTGTGGTGGATGATAGTTCTGAAGGAAGGCTGGTGGTCTTTGTTGTGCTTTTGTATCACAGTTCCTTATATGTATCTTCCTGACTTAGCTTCGTAATGTATTTTCCTTTAATATGAAGAAGCATGACACATTTACTCTAGATACATAGATTCTAGACCAAATATAAACATCACTCTCATCATGTTTATGCTGTAACATTAGCGTAAGTATAAATATGATTTGTAAAAAATTATGTTAAATATTTGGTAAATGATGTGAATGTCGATCCCATATTGCTCCAAGATTTTCCTTTGATGTAACGATATTGCCTGTATTTGCCTGGGAGTTACGCAGTTCTCTATCAATACATTCTCAAGCGCATGCAGTGAGGCTCATATCAGGACTCCAAGAGACTTACTCAAGGAAATAGAATCCATTTGACCTCTTCCATAGTGAAGTAACTGTGGAAGTGTCCGCCTGTTGCCTTGGGTTACCAAAACATTTATATACAGGTCTATAACGCTATCTGAGTGACAAAAATACATTACAACTACTCCTTTACGCTGGCCCTTATACTCTGTGGTGCCTGTTAATGCCAGGTGAACAAGAGGATTCGGAGAACAGATAATTTTTTACACAATTCTGTTCGTTTGTGTGCACAAACTCCTTTGAAGATAACTCCTGGTGAAGGGCTCTTAGTCAAGAAACTATGGCAATCCTTCCCTTTTTCCTGAATATTATATATAATACTATTTGTTAAATCCAAGACAGTGAAAAAATGACGTTTTTGACGTAACTTAATATTGCAGATAAATGATGTCAGGCAGGAAATGTTCCTCCCCCATCACGACCCTTGCCGCCACCGACCACAAGAACGTTCCACCGGGAGGAGGTGGCCTCTTCAGCGTCCCTGTAGAAGGAGGTGACCCCTTCAGCGCCTTACGAGCAAAAGCGACCGCCTTCGGTGTTTCCCCATCAGAAGGCGGCCTCACACTACCCTCATGGGTGCTGGAGGAGAAGGAAGCAGCGAGGATCGCTCACCGGCGTCGCCTTCTACAGGAGCGAGCTGCCAGGATACACCAGCCAAGAGCCACCTCCATAGCGGTGAGTCTCCATAGCTAATATAGAAAGAAATCGTGAAATGCAGAAGCATTTCGTGCAGTGGAGGACACAAACATCACACCCGCCACACTAGTACTAGGCATCCTGTGAAAAACGAAGAACATTTTAAATATACCCTATGTCGACTTCGGTAGCATTTTCTTTTTGATTAGGTGCCAGTTGCATTCTGTATCATAGTACGGAATAGCTAACAGTATAAAATTGATTTAATAATGTTATACATACATTGTGTGAGTCCAGAGTCTTCCTTTCCTCACTCCGAGGGTCTTCGGTCCCTTCATTTGTTGATCTTCTGGGTCTTCTTGAAGCTGGCGACACCACCCATTCCAGCGTCGGAGTATCGTAGCTGGGTTTCGGCCATTGTAGACGCACAGTTCTAGCATTAACATGTAAACTGCTTGTGTAACTGGCATTCCAAACGAGAGGAGAATGAAATTAGTCCTCAGCTTGCCACAGCCACGTATGTGTCCGTATCAGGAGTGACATGTCCTATGTTACTGGGCAACTGATGTACGTGGCACTGATGGTGGTTAAGTGGTTTAGGGCGTCTCGAAATATTGAAAAACTATGAGGGTGGCTTATTAAAGTATCGAGGGTTCGATTCCTAGCCATTGTAGTTTGATATATATATATATATATATATATATATATATATATATATATATATATATATATATATATATATATATATATATATATATATTTATATATATATATATATATATATATATATATATATATATATATATATATATATATATATATATATATATATATATATGTCGTGCCGAATAGGCAGAACTTGCGATCTTGGCTTAAATAGCAACGCTCATCTTGCCATATAGGACAAGTGTAAATTTGTGTATGCAATAATTTCGCCAAAATCATTCTGAACCTAACGAAAATAATATACTTCACTGTGTTTGTTTAGTATTAAATTACTGTAAACAAATCTAAAATATATTTAGTTTGGTTAGGCTAAAATAAATTGTTCTTGTTGTAATAAGGTTAGGAAAGTTTTCTAGGATTCTTTTGGTGCAAAATTAAAAATGTTTACATTAACATCAATGAAAAAAGTATATCTTTAAACGTATAAAAGAAAATTTCAGAAAGGACTTAATTTTAAATGAGTTCTTGCTAATTGACCAGTTTTACATATTCGGCACGATATATATATATATATATATATACAGTGGTCCCTCGACAATCGTAGTTCTCGGGAATCGTAGATTTCGGAAATCATAGGGATATTTTCGTATAAATATCGGCTCGCTAATCGTAGGTTGACTCGCGAATAGTAGGTCGTCCGGGATGCATACACACGGTGTGAACCGGGGCGGCCTCACTACCCAGCCAGTGTGGCATTGTTTACCAGTGAGCGAAGGTCCCCTCACGTGCTCCTACGAAATATTTCATAATATTCCACTCATTTTAGTGCTTGCAAGTACTAAATAAGCTACCATGGCTCCAAAGAAAGCTCCTAGTGCCAAGCCTGTGGTAAAGAAGGTGGGAAATACGATTGAATTTAAGAAAAAACATCATTGAACAATATGAAAGTGGCACAAATGCGGCCGAACTGGCCAGGATGTATAAGAAACCCTACACAACCATATGTTCCATCGTGGCCAAGAAAGAGGAAATCAAGGACGCTGTTGTTGCAAAGGAGGTAAATATGCTGACAAAAATGAGATCACCAGTACTCGAAGATGTTGAGAAGTTATTATTGGTGTGGATAAACGAGAAATAATTAGCAGGAGATACCCTTATGACTTCGATTATTTTTGAAAAGGCTAGGCAGTTCCACAACAATCTGGTAAAGAAATTGCTTGCAATGAGTACTGATATTTGTGAATTTAAGGCCAGCAAAGGTTGGTTTGAGAGATTTAAGAACCATAGTGGCATACACAGTGTGGTAAGGCATGGTGAGGCTGCCAGTTTGGACCACAAGGCGGCTGAAAAATATGTGCATGAATTCAAGGAGCACATAGAGGCTGAAGGACTGAAACCTGAACAAGTGTTCAGTTGTGACTAAACAGGCCTCTTTTGGAAGAAAATGCCAAAGAAGACCTTCATTACACAAGAGGAAAAGGCAATGCCAGGACACAAGCCTATGAAAGACAGGCTGACACTCATGTTCTGTGCTAATGCTAGTGGGGATTTCAAAGTGAAGCCATTACTAGTGTACCATTCTGAAAATCCCAGAGTATTCAGGAAAAACAATATTATGAAGAGTAAATTGTGTGTGTTTTGGAAATGTAATAGTAAGGCATGGGTCACGAGGGAAATTTTCGTTGAGTGGTTCAATAAAGTGTTTGGCCCTAGTGTGAAGAATTACCTCCTGGAAAAGAAATTGGATCTCAAGTGCCTGCTAGTAATGGACAATGCACCTGCTCATCTTCCAAATTTGGATGACCTAATTTTTTCGAGGAGTTTTGGTTCATCACAGTAAAGTTTCTGCCCCGAATACCCTCCTCTCTCCAGCCCATGGACCAGCAGGTCATTGCAAACTTTAAAAAACTCTACACCAAAGCAATGTTTCAAAGGTGCTTGATTGTGACCACAGACACTCACTTGACCCTAAGAGAATTTTGGAGAGAACACTTCAGCATCGTCCATTGCATCACCCTTATAGGTATGGCTTGGGAGGGAGTGACTACCAGGACTTTCAACTCTGCCTGGAGAAAATTGTGGCCAGATTGTGTCGACAAGAGGGATTTTGAAGGGTTTGGGACTGACCCTGATGAGCCTATGTCTGTTGTTAAATCATCTGTGGCACTGGGGAGTTCCATGGGGTTGGATGTGAGTTTGGAGGATGTGGAAGAGTTGGTCGAAGACCACAACGAAGAGCTCACCGCTGATGAGCTGCAATAGCTTCAGCAGGAACAGCAACATATCGCAGCTCAGAATCTTTCTGCAGAGAAGGAGGAAGAGAGATGGAAGAAGGTGCCTTCTTCAGAAATTAAAGAGATTTTTGCTATGTGGGGTAAGATGGAAAGATTTATAGAGAAACATCACCCTGACAAGGCTGTTGCAAGCCATGTTGGCAACATGTACAGAGACAAAGTCTTCGGCCATTTTAGGGAAGTGTTAAAGAGACGCCAGAAACAGAGCTCTCCACAGTTATTTTGCGAGACAGGACTCCAGTAACTCAAGGTGGTCCTAGTGGCATTAAGAAACAGAGAAGAGAAGCAACCTCAGAAAAGCAATTGGTACCTGAGGTGTTGCTGGAAGAGGATTCCCCTTCCAAACTGTAAACAATCCACTCTCTCTCCTCCTCCAGTCTCCCATACACTAAGAAGAATCTCCAATAAAGGTAAGTGTTATGCTGTTAATGTTTCATTCATCATTTCCCATTGTATTGTTTATGTGCTACATCTATATTTCATGTAAAAAATTTTTTTTGTTTTAATACTTGTGGGTGTCTAGGAAACGGATTAATGTAATTTCAATATTTACTTTATGGGGAAAATTGATTCGAAAATCGTATATTTCGATAATATAGCAAACTTAGCAACGATTAACTACGAAAAAACCAGAAATATATATATATATATATATATATATATATATATATATATATATATATATATATATATATATATATATATATAATATATATTAATATATATATGTCGTGCCGAATATGTAAAACTGGTCAATTAGCAAGAACTCATTTAAAATTAAGTCCTTTCTAAAAATTTCTCTTATACTTTTAAAGATATATTTTTTTTCATTAATGTTAATGTAAAAATTTTTAATTTTGCACGATAAGAATCTTAGAAAACTTACCTAACCTTATTATAACAAGAACAATTTATTTTAGCCTAACCCAACTATATATATTTTAGATTTGTTTACAATAATTTAATACTAAACAAATACATTGAAATATATATTTTTCGTTAGGTTCAGAATGATTTTGGCGAAATTATTGCATACACAAATTTTCACTTGTCCTATATGGCAAGGTGAGCGTTGCTATTTAAGCCAAGATCGCAAGTTCTGCCTATTCGGCACGATATATATATATATATATATATATATATATATAATATATATATATATATATATATATATAATGGGGTCCACCTCTGGTGTAAATTGTGGGACCCATATATATATATATATATATATATATATATATATATATATATATATATATATATATATATATATATAATATAGGGAGGTACCACCTCTAGAACTGTTATAGGGACCCTCATCCTCAGAGAAAAGAATAAACTTGCTTCAGGGAAAACTCAATATTCTCCCTGAAGCTGTTTGAGAATTTTCTCCTACCACCCCCTATATTATATATATATATATATATATATATATATATTATATATATATATATATATATATATATATATATATATATATATATATATATATATATATATTTTATTTAAAGACAAAATACATTGACAGAACATTCACAAAACTACGATACAAAGTAAAACAACATAGGTAACTCAGAGCTACATCTCGAATACTTCGTCCAGCTCCCCGGCGGTGGGCCGCGTGCCCAGAATGCTGCAGGCATTTCCTCTCTGGATCGCAACACTGAGTCTCTGGAAGAGGAAGCTGGTCGCCCTGTGGTCCTTTGTTTCTATGATGAGCTATTCACCCAGCTCTATTAGGAACTTTAGAGCACACTTGCCCCATGCTCCAAGGGTCTCTGACCCTATTGGGATGAGGTTATAGCAAGGGGGAAGGTCTTCATATTTGCGGATCTTCTGAGTCTCCCTGTGGCTGGCAGCTCCACCCCCTTCCACTACGGAGTATGGCAAGTAGGTGTCTGCCAATGTGGCGGCACATGTGTAGTCCCAGGCAATCTGCTTTCCATCCTTCCAAGGTAGCATAGTGGCTCCATCAGGACGCTTTAGACTTCCGTCAGACCTCTGCACTTGGGGTTCCCGTTGAGCTGGGCAACGGGCTGTGGCAAGGCTTCTCTTTATGATATCATTGACCTCCTCATG